AATCAACTGTGCTAGACTTTACCAAGTCGTGCCTCATGTTAATTCAACATGTAAAACTCAAAGTTCAAGTAAAATCTCCAAGACCAACTTGGGATTCATGAAAAATCCAGAAATGAGAACAAAATGCTCAAGATCTCACCCCTGCTGGGCACAAATGATAGCAAAAGCAACATGGTTGGTCGGATGGTCTTCTTTTGTCAGTGGTAGAACTCTACTAGGGCGGAGTACAAGGAAATGACACTGTAGGGAATCATTCAGCGTTTAGTACACGAAGCTTTAACTGTAGCTTGATATTTTTGATGAGGCCACTCGCTTTTGTTATGTCAAGAGATCAAAGCTACACCAAAAATATGAAATTGTGAACGTGTCACTGGCTACCTCAAACCGCTGTCTTGGGGTACATGTATATGGACATACCTTCTACCATTGAACTAGCTCAACTTCAGATGATACAAAGCCACCTGCAGCCTCAGATTTTCATCTGTAAGTAATGTTTATCAACTACTAAATTTACATGAAAAAAATTACGGAAAGATATTTAGGACATGATGAACCCCCACAATGGCCGCTTTATGACTGGGTGGATTAGCTTTTCAAAGGATGGAACAGTGTTTCACTTAGGCAGAATAGCATTTTGCCCAAGCGGTTTAGTATTTTGTTATAAGTGTTACTGGTTTGCACAGCCTGATTACTATTTCATACGAGCAGATTACTATTTCACCGGATGGATTACTATTTTACCTGACTGGATCACTATTTTGCCCCAGTGTATTACTGTTGAAATGGTGAAACATATCAGTTCAATCTGCCCAAGTGAAAAAGTAATCTGCTCGGGCAAAATAAAAATCCACCTGGAGGAATTAGCTGCCCTAGAGGTGAAATACTAATCCACCCGGAGAAGATAATCGGTAAAAAAATTTGTTTGGTCAAGTGCTAAATATTCATAATCATACTTCAATAACAAGTCATAATAAGGGATACAAAGGGCAAAGCAATTATATTTTGTGTATTTATTCAACTGAATTTTAGTTGTAATCCCCCTCCTGTTTCCTGACAAAGGGTCGACAAGAATGACAAAGCTAACTGCACAATCCATGAGGATTCAGTTTGGCAAAGCAAAATGACATGTACATGTGCACTTGGAAGGTCTGCTGTAACACAAAGAAATTATGTCTCTGGAATAAGGGACAAAATGGTTCAAAGAAGAATAAGTGAATCAACGTGTCGTTAGAAACCAATATTTCCAGCACTATGCCCAGAGGACTAAATGTAATTACATGTTCCAGGAGTCAAACTATTATTGTTGAAGCTTTCACTTACTTGAGACATATTACATGTAAATCAACTCCCGCATGCTTACTCGTTCAAGCACAACTGCATTTGATTTTGTCACTCAAACAAATACCAGTAATTTCTTAGGTCTGGCCCCAGTAACCGACCCACCAGGAGGGTTACCTTGGGACACAGAGGAATGAAAATACCGGTATTCCCCCAATGCAAAGTGAAAACATGACAGCTATGAATAAAGTTGACAAAATAGTTGAATGTAGTTGAAAGTGACCCCAAATCAAGTTCTGTAAAGGAGGCCACAAATGCATCTGTGGCTTCCGACCACTTGGATTCATTTATGTTTGCAAATTTAATTGGCCAGGGGACCGAGTCACCAAAGACCGTTCATTTATAATTGTATTATGGATTGTGCATGTCCCATACCTGTGTTGATAGCAGGGGAGTGATGACAGCAAAAATGGCCATCGACCATGTAAATCAAAGCTACGAATCAAAGTGTTGTTAGACTCAAATTCCAGCCGTTTCACACATACTTTATATTGTAGTCCTCAAGCCTTTGTTTATTCTTCTTTCATCTTTGAATAAGATGACTCCATCATTTTCCCAAAAGTCTAAAATACACACATCACGCTGTCTTCATTCGTGGACATTTAAAATTCCTTGAAGTTTCTATGTATTTTTTTGTCTTTGGGATTCTAAATTTTCAATATTCATTTTCCATCATAAGATCTCACAATTGCGTATAGACAAAAGGGCTCTGCAACGCACTCAACAGCTGCTGTGGTAGAGTGTGGTAAGTGATAAATTTATGTTAACACATGCAAATGAAAAATTAATGACTAGCTTGGTACTTGACGATTTCATATTTCACATTTTTACTGATTAAGTATATTAAATTGACTAATTTACATATACCTCATTTGAATAGTTTCTCTCACAGACACATGTACACTGTATTTCATACTCATGTGTAGTTATTGGTCATACTGGTACATTTCTAATTTATGTGCTTCAATTTGCTATTAGAATCGTTTACGTCTACCGGTACTTGCCCACATGAGTACATAAAATGAAGTGGTAACCATTTCTGTTTTGGTTCATTTCTTTTTACTTCCAGGATGTAAATTGTATTATCAGATTAAGCTTTAATCTGATTACCTGACAAAGAAACAATGGCTGAACAGGGGAGTGGACTTCTTACAGTTCTTTCGTGGAATGTAAATGGACTTGGGACAAGATCACCTGAAGTTCAAGCACTTCTAGAGGACAGGAACATTGACATAATGTGCCTGACAGAGACAAAGGCAAACTCATCTGACCAATATGATAGCCGATTTCCAGGTTTTGCAGTGATTGGAAAGTCAGTAAACAAGTTGGCTGAATCAACGCAAAGACCATTTCCGGGCGGCCTTTTGTTTGCCCATCGAAAATCACTGCCTTATAGATTTTCAAAGATTCTGAATAAATCTCATTTTATTCTTTGGGTGAAAGCAGACCCCAAAAAGCCTGAATCGAATGTACAGATGGTATTTGCAGTTATATACAACCCCCCGACCGACAAAACTACAAAAGATGACATCCTCTCTATCATGGAAAGAGAGTACAAGATTTTGGTTGATGAGCACAAGGGGGCTAAATTTTATCTCACTGGAGACTTTAATGCATATACTTACGGGCAGCTTGATGGTCCAGAAGGAAGTAATCTTAAAGCAAGAAAATTTGGAGCAAGAGAAATAACCCCAGACNTATGTACCCTGGGACATTTTAACTGATTAAGTACATTTAATTGACTAATTTACATATACCTCATTTGAATAGTTTCTCTCACAGACACATGTATACTGTATTTCATGCTCATGTGTAGTTATTGGTCATTACTGATTTATGTGCTTCAATTTGCTATTAGAATCATTTATGGCTACCGGTACTTGCCCACATGAGTACTTAAAATGAAGTTGTAACCATTTCTGTTTTGGTTCATTTCTTTTTACTTCCAGGATGTAAACTGTATTATCAGATTAAGCTTTAATCTGATTACCTGACAAAGAAACAATGGCTGAACAGGGGAGTGGACTTCTTACAGTTCTTTCGTGGAATGTAAATGGACTTAAGAAAAAAGTAAAGAAAGTTAAAACACTTCTTGACAAAAGGAACATTGACATAATGTGCCTGACAGAGACAAAGGCAAACCCAACTCACCAATATGATAGCCAATTTCCAGATTTTGCAGTGATTGGAAAGTCAGTTAACAAGTTGGCTGAATCAAAGCAACCATCATTTCCGGGAGGCCTTTTGTTTGCCTACCGAGAATCACTGCCTTACAAATTTTCAAAGATTCCGAATAAATCTCATTTTATTCTTTGGGTGAAAGCAGACCCCAAAAAGCCTGAATCGAATGTACAGATGGTATTTGCAGTTATATACAACCCCCCGTCCCACAAAACTACAAAAGATGAGATCCTCTCTATCATGGAAAGAGAGTATAAGATTTTGGCTGATGAGCACAAGGAGGCTAAATTTTATCTCACTGGAGATCTAAACGCATATACCTATCAGAAACTTGATTATCCTGAAGGAAGTGTGAGTGATCTGCAAGAAAGAACATTTGAAACAGACAACAAAAACACCAAAAAGCAAGCCAGCAATTCTGGAGAAACGCTATTGGACTTCTGTAAAAGAACAGGCTTTCGTATAGCAAATGGCAGATTTGGGAATAAATCTAACAGGCTCACTACTCGAAGCCACACTCTGGATTACTTGCTCTGCAGGGAGAAGGATTGGAGTTTTATACTAGACTTTAAAGTTGATGGTATGTACAAATCAAACCATAAAGCTCTTATTTTCACTCTAGACACCAAAAGAAGTGAATGTCGTACATGTACACGTACCAGTGAGGTTAGGTTTACACTTAAATGTACACCAATGCAGCAGTCAGATGAGTTTGATATGATTTGGTACCTGCAGACACTGCAAGAACTAACATCAATCCCAGATGGATTCGTAGAGGCAAGTAAGCAATGCAACTACCAAAGTGAGGTGTCCAATATATGTATACAAGAGCCATTTTTTTTGCAGTACAAACTCCAACCTGTAACAAAGCTACAGAAAGAATCTGGCAATCGCATGATGCACTGCTTCTCAGTCGCACCGTGTTCAGATCCCCTGCTTGTTGAAAGCATACTATGCTTCTATCTTCTATACTGCTCAAGCATTAACAACATGATCAGCGTGGTGGAAGAAAATGTGATAGCAGCATACAGGCACTGTTTCAAAAACTACCCAGGGTGTTTATTCACATTTGTAGGTGCTTTCATATTGGCAACTGAAATTACACCAGAAAACATAAATACCGACCTTAATACAACAGCCTTGACAAGAATACTGAACGAAGTTAATAAAACTGGAACTCACGATCAAAGAAAAGAGTACAATAAGTTAATCCCCATCAAACTTGAAAATCAACCAGATAAGCAAATTGTGATTTGGAAATTTGCTTTCAGACAAGAATTCCAAACAGCGATAACTCCAGCTTTTGATCTTGATATAAGCTTTGCAGGCCATCAGTGAAGTAATGAGTAGATCTTCTAAGAATAAAGACAGAAGTGTCTCATTTATTTGAGTATGCGTAAAGATTGCAATAGAAAAACAAAGCTCTACAAACACAAGTCAATGAAAAGCGACTCCAGTATTTTTCATCAGCATCAACCATATCACATCCAATGATATGCAATTTCTTTCTGCACAAATTCATGGGAGTAATGAGTGCACATAATGTAGCGGATAGTGTGTCATTATGGAGTTGCCGTCATTCAGAGATTCTCATTACCTTTTTCCAGTAATCTAAGAGTAGGCCCACAGTGGAACTGCTTGAGTGTAAATGCCAAGCAAAGTTAACTATCAGATTGAACATCTGAAACTCACATGAACTGCAATCAGAAATTTGTGAACAGGCTTTCATGCTTTTTAGAATAGCTACCGGTAATTTTGATTTTCCTTTTGGTACTAAAGGCAGCACATTCAAAGCTATACCTAAAGGTAGATTTCATCATTACCAAGGCTCCAAAAGAAGCTACATAAAGAAAATTGCATGTACCTGTCAGTTTTGCTGAATTATGTATGTATATGCCAATGCTAATGTAGCAAATTCCAGTGAAGATATCAATAGTTTTAGACTTAAAAGGGCAAAAATTAGC